GCATACAGACTAACAGACTGCCAGCTAAAACCATTAACTTCCTTTCAATGCTACGCAGAAGGAAGTTAATAAAGTATTATGTGGCTGTAGCTCGGAGTGCGGCTTCAGCCTAGTTAGTAAAATAAATTAATACAAGGCTGCTAAAACCACCGCAAATTTCGCCATTTTAGAGCCGTAAAAATTAATTATAACTAAACAAAACAAAATTAAACTGCCATCTACATTCAATGGCTTCCCACATGATAGATGAAGAGTTTTAAAAATGTATTGAGCTGAACAATTGATATTTTCAAAAGATATCGTGTTTACAAGCCTTGCGGACTTGATAAATCCACACCATAAGCCACTAAAACTCCTTTTTTTATTTAAAAATAGCAATTAATCGATTAAAAAAAATAACTTATTCTGTGACGCGAGCGACTCATCCCCCATGTCAGATTTGTCATTTGTATACATGCAGTATCATGACACAAGATTGAGTATAAGCTTTTAACCTATATATTTGCTGCAGGTACGGTAAGTATTCAAAATAAAGATTCATACTTTAACAGGCATTGTCAAATTTTTAAACACGTAATTACGCATGCTCGTTTGCCCCGTTTAAGGATTTTAGTATTTTTAATAACACTTAAATACCTTTCATGTGATACCGTGACACCATACATTTGTAGCTTATTATTTTTAAGTTGCAAGCTTTCGATAGTCGGTATCAGCCTGGTGTCATCCATGTTTAGTTTATGAAAACATAATATAGTCTATGTCAACTATTCTATTATGTCACATCAATTAAGACAGAACATTTTTTTTAAATTCGACGAATAGATTAGGATTTTAGAATTTGCGGGCGGATGGGCATGAATATACATATACCAGACAAACACAGATACTTTTAGGCAGTTGGCTAAATACGACGCCACCATCAAATTATTAATAAATTAATTCCATCAATCTATCCATCCAACACACAATAGTTTACTAAAAAAAAATTGATGTTCACTCTGTAGGTAGTAGGAACAGACACAAGCTACCGTAAAATAAAGTACTCGTACATGTAAAGTAGTCTCCACACTCGACTCCATAGAATTAGTAATTCATTCTTGGGGTGATGTATACGCTTTTACAACATAATTCCACAAAATATACAAAATTTGTCCTCCGCCAAGTAAAAAACTTTATTAAATAAAGATTGTATAAGTAACTAGCTGCTACTACAAATAATTGTGGAAATATCGTTTTAAATTTGGAAGTCATATAGTTTAATTAGGAATGATAATACAAATTTATGGGTACGATACGCGCGCCATATACTGCGTGTGTGGTGTGTGCAAGCAATATATTGATAAAGTTTTACCGCAATGTGATGACGGTATGGCAGCGCATAAAATACGAACAAACAAAACTTCACATTTTTATATATTAGATTAGGATTATTATAATATTCAGGAACTTAATATAAATGATAACACCTGGAACTAAGGTGATCGCTACCAAGTTATTCCTAATTTGTTGTGTTGTCACTTGTCATCACATGTATGTGTAACATATTGCATAATTATAAATAGTACTTTAAAACAAAATAGTCTCACCAGGTTTCTTGCTGGTTCTTTCTAGGACAGAAGTATTTTACGAACCAGTGATAAATTAAAAATAAAAAAAAATTTTATTCCCTAAAAATTATAACAATACTTATTTAAAGTCATTCTTTAAATAGAAAGACCTAAAAAGATCTAGGACAGAAGTATTTTACGAGTCAGTGATAAATTAAACATAAGAATGACTTTAAATAAGTTTTGTTTATAATCTTTAGGGAATAAAAAAGTTTTTTTTTATATCTTTATTGCAACCGTTCACAAGTCCACAGCTGAACATAGGCCTTCCTCAAGGAATGCCACAAAATACGACCCTGAGTCAACTGCATTCATCGATTTCCAGAATGTCTTCCAAGGTCATCACACTATGTGGTGGCTGAACGCTTCACACTTTGTATTCGGGTACGAGGCTACTACTCGAGAACCTTATCTTCCTCATCGGTAGTCAGTTTTTTGAGTTACATAATAAATTACAATAGAATCATCGGTTTTAAAGACGTATATCTATTATCAAGGAAGTAATATGAACGCCTTCTGTAGATATATCTCTACTATAAATGCAGTCAGCATTTATAATGGAATAAATAACAATGCCAGAAGTCCTTACCTACCTAAACGGGAAATTGAGTGATACTTAGAATGCAAATGGACTCTACGTAAATAGCTATTTGTAAGACTGCTAGTAATACAGTTGTTGGCAAAAGAATAGGCTTTTAATTCTTGAATAATAATGAAACAAATAGGTGCTTGATGGAAAAAGTACGTGGTAGAGTCATGCTGCAGCTATATTAGTAGTATAGTTGTAGCATAAATGGGTTTGCTCGACCGGGGAAGGACCACGCTTTCACGGAATACCAACGACCACGCTCTCACAAAATAGCAGCTTGACGCTGCTGTGTTTCGTATGGCGAGTGTAGAGAACCGGATACCCTTTTTACTGCAAACGAGGCATTTCATCTTAGTCCTCACGGGTGGCAAAGCATTTGCCTTTTGATTCGTAACCGAGAATAGATATAGATGTCTATGGGCCGCCGGACCCACTTACCATCAGGTGGACTGTGTGCTCGCTTGTCACCCTTATCCTATAAAAAAGCGACCCACGAACATTGATTGACACGACAGACATAGAATGGGCCTATGTGCCTTTATGTGGTGTCGATACTAATTATTTCGCCGCGGGTCCTTAGTTCGATGCTGAGAATGAGTTCATTTATGTAACATAGCTCAATTTGTTGCTTTAGCGATAAAGCTATCCATACAAATCAACACAAAGCAAAAAATCTGGAACCTAAACTTGCGTGTACGTCAGGAGTCAAGAGTGCTTCTGTATACGTCAACTTGTGGCACTGTAATATTCTGCGTAGTTTATATATTCCGGATGTTGTTACCGTGGTTAAAAAGATATCATCATCATCATCATCGTATTCAATTAAAGAGTGACGCAGAACGTAGCAACATTAATATCTAGAAATATATAATCTAAATTTAAAAGCTTTTAGAAAAATTTACTTCGCAAATATCCGCGTTATAAAATAAAATGATGTGTCTTACCTAGTATGAAGAGCGCCTCCCGACCTCCCTCAATTGCGTGCACTATCCCCTTATATTATATATTGGTGCTGGGATTAGTGGTGACGGCGATCATATATTCAGAAAAGTATTTCAAAAGGCTTAGTAATGTGGTAGCGGCGCAAGAAAATACGGGCTGGTGAGTGGTAAGAGGCGACTATTGGACACGACCTGTAATAATACAGCTTAACTATTTTTGGCAGGTGGATTGACGATCACAGTACCAGACGTCTCGCACTTGTGACGCTGCTCCCGGTCTTTGCTCAGGATTACTTCTGCCGTCACCGAAATGGTTAGACCGCCATCTACCGGAAGCCGTAAGATCTTTCTAGCATTTTCTATCGTCGCTTCTTATAGTTAATTCATTTTAGTTCTCATCCTCAGGAGTAATAACACTCCTGTAACCTACTTAGTTTGAAGGCATCAGGATGATTGCGAATTGTTTACAACACATATAATTATGATAAAAAATATAATTCGTTGGTTTAAAAGACGGTTTTGAGTACTTACAATCTTACTTCAGATGTTATTAAAACCCGATAAGAAGTGGATCATAAAATATAAATTGCACAAGAATGTAATGTTTCAAAAAAAATCTGATGCCAAGAAGTGGACAATAAAAAAATTACAAAGAAGTTCTAAACAGAACTTAATAATGCTAATAACTTAAATATACTGACTTTTCTGTATTAAAGGTAAAATAAAATACAACGAAGTTAAGGGTATTGACATTAAACTGGAAACATGCATTTAAAAAAAAACAAATAATACGAGTATGTCACAAGACACCAAATATCGATATAATTTATAAATATTGTTATTAACTAAATATTTAAAATTATCTTATTTTTCTTGCTTAAATGTTAACAATAGCTAACAAAAGCTGATCTCAATTTGCTTTCGTGCGGGTCAAAATTAAATCGATCATTGACATACTTTTTTTTTAATTCTGGGCATTGTACGTTTTGTATGCGGTCCGTTACATCGACCTCTTCGTCCATCGAGGACTGGTTTTAGAGAAATGTGTTTGCACCCCAGTGTTAGGACCGGAGAAACAACCATACCGACTTTGACCGTCAAACCCGGAGGACTTGCATCGTACTTTCTTCCATGTGAGTGTCATTACTTGTTATTTTTAACTAGTGCCTTACGCTTTTACGCCGCTTAGAAAGTAACGCTCTATTAACTGTGAAAGTGTGCAGCACCGTGATGGCAATGGCCGAGATCTATGTTAGTGTTAGTTTGAATATAAATAATATTCATTAATGTAGTGAAAAAAGTATAAATATTGTATGTTTGTTACAACGTATTATTTTATTTGATAATATTGTATATAAATCATCTTTCTGTCATTACGGGGGGGGGGGGGGGGTTATGCTTGCTATAGGTGACACGATTGGCGGGCGGGCAACCGCAGTTCTTTTTTTTGGCGTTCCTTCCTTAGAGAACTTCTTATGGGCTGTATAGTGATGAATAAATAACATCAAAGTTAAAGGAACTAATAATAATATTATTAACGATATTATAAAACTTAATATTAAGGAGGTATGTCACTTGATAGACTTGATAAGGACAATGTTTATTTTAAAGGGGAAGCCATGTAAACATTAAATAAATATTAAATAAAATGTATCGTAAGGGAGGTTACATATAGTAAGAGAGAACAAAAATAACTGTTTTTTGATGCTGTTTTTTATTATATTATATTTTATAATGAAGAATTTAGTCGTATATTATAATATATATATATTGAACTTCAAAATTATTGCTTCTTGAACTTCAACGAAATTTTATTTTTAACTTACTTCGTTTAGTATCGTTGGCATTTTTATTTTTAGAAAAATGAGATTTTGGTTACTTTGCGTGTTCGCGCTGACGGTGGTGGTGTCATGCTCTGCGCAGCAACAGTTCATTAACCGCTATGACAACTTCAACGCGGACTCCATTATACAAAACGAAAGGATCTTACTCGCCTATTACAAGTGTGTAATGGAAAAGGGACCTTGCACAAAGGATGGCAAGAACTTTAAACGTAAGTTTACAAATAATTGACTATAAAAAATAGTCCAGGTGGAATCATTACACAGTATTCTACAAGATTTTTTTTAATACAGTGTCATGAAAGGTATCGTTCTCCGTTAGGCTTTGTATACTAGTATAGAGTGATAGTATGAGGAGTATACAGGTGGAAAAAAAATCACAGCTTACGAATATACGAGATTTGTTTACAGTCTCCAATATAGTTAAAATTTTATTTGTTATATGTATTCATAGAAGATAATAAAATAGTAATATAATATTATGAATAGTAATATCAGTTATAAAGTTTAAGGTTTTTTCCTTACTTGCAATACGAGTGCAATAAATCTCACTGAGAACTTTTAGCCTTTGAAATCTCATACAAAATATGAGCCGGATCTGTTTTTATGTATTTTGAATTTATCTTCCCGACCGTGGTTTATAATTAAGATATTTGAGGAATGAATGTAATATTAATTCAAATGTACAAGGTCTTTGGCGTATGGCACATTTAAATTTTATTTTATCTTATAATAATTGAATGGTGAAAGAATGCAGTGTGCGTGATAGAGCCAAGCTGCAGATATATTTAAAATATAGTTGTAGCACGAATCGTTCGGCTCGACCGGGGAAGGACCACGCTCTCACAGAATATCAGGGTAAAATAGCAGCTTAATACTGCTGTGTATCGTATGGTGAGTGTAGAGAACCGGAGAACCTTTTTACTAGAAAAGAGGCATTCCATCTTAGTCCTCAAGGCTGACAACGCATCTGCATTTTGACTCGCTAACGAGGATAGATGTAGATGTATATGGGCCACAGCAACCTCCTACCATCAAGTGGACTGTGTGTTCGTTTGTCAGTTTTATTCTATAAAGATAAAAGAAAGAAAAAAAGTATCTTTTCCCTCACTCTCAAAAGTCCGATGGGACGCCAACCCGAAACGACCGGAGGGATATGAGGCGGTGCACCAACGGCTTTACGTACTTTCCGAGGCTCGGGTGTGAAACACAGCCAACTTCCGGTCTCTCGGCTGCTACTGAGATATTCTTGACTAATAATTGATTCTGGCCAGACCTGGGATTCGAATCTGGGACCACACGATCAGCAGTCGTGCTTGAGTTAACTAACACAACGAGGCAGTCGTTTGTTTGTTCTATTATAATATTTTCGTCATAGATGATACATCCAATTGTATAAAAAGTTATCCTAATAGTATCCAAGTGTAAAAAGAGATAGTTTTTTTTTTTTATTTTAAAAAAATTGTTACGCCGTAAATATTAACTATCATATTTACTGAAATATCGTTATAATTTTAAACTAAATAATACAACAAGGGGTATTATTTCCTGACTTGTCAGAGTTTTAGTTGCATCATTTATAAAGATAATGGTTAAGGGTGAACATTATGATATTATGTTATCTTAAAATTGAAACCTTGTCGAGAAATAATCTTAAATTTTTAATTATCCGGTCGTAAACTCTAGAATGTATGAGTTTGTGATACAATGGACGGAAAATATAAAGGTTTACTTTATGACAGCGGAACCCTAAACAAACATCCCTAATTCACATTGCATATTGACGCATTTAAGATAATAATTAAGATCAGTTCCGGTAGTATTGTTAAGATATTCCCCAAGCAGTATTCAAAGTTCCTACCTGAGATATTAGAAATTTGGTAATCCAGTCCAGTTTAACTTTGAGTACGATAAAGATTTATATATTACTAGCTGACCAGGCAGACGTTGTTCTGCCCTTTCCAACGACCCTTCCTATAAAAATCCTTAAATTCGCAATAAAAAATTTTGAAGGTCATTTATCGGGATTAAGACTATCCTATCTCTCAAGTTGGACAAAAATGCACACAGTGTGCAAAATTTCATTGAAATCAGTTCAGTAGTTTAGGAGTCCCTCGCGGACAAACAACGTGACACGTAATTTTTATATATAAAGATTCGATAGAAAATTAGCGCTCATCTTACAATTTTCGCAAACCAAATTGAGTCTTTGCCGGCATCAAATGGATGAATGTGTTTATGAATGTACTATGAACCACTACGATTCGAGTAACAACCGTTTAGTCGAGATAAAAGAATATCCACTTCCCTATATCGAATGAGGCATTCTATGGGGGAGGCCCATGTTGATATAGCCTTTAAATGAATGGCTGGATAAAAAAATCATCAAGTATTTCTGAACTAGAGTCTAGAATTCAGTTGTGATATTTTAAGTTCAAGTTGATTTTTGCAAGTCGTTCTGTATTCTGCAGTAAATCAAACACATAGATAATTCGCACATATTATACCGTGTGCTATTTTCCGACTTAGGATTTTACATAATTATTTAAATTATTTTAATAATATCAAGTAAAATCATACAGTGCCTAGTGAGTCATCTAAAATTACAATCAAACTGGTTTAGAATATTTAAAATATTTTTGTATATTTTTTTTTATTTCAGGTGTATTACCAGAAACAATATCAACGGCATGCGGAAGATGCTCACCTAAACAGAAAGATGTAGTTCGCAAGTTATTACTTGGAATTAGAGCAAAAAGTGAACCGCGATTCTTCGAGCTTCTCGATAAATATGATCCAAGCCGATTGAATAGAGAAGCCTTATATACTTTCCTAGTAACTGGAAATTAGTTTTCTTTTTGTATTGGAATGAAAAATAATAGAACTGCCATAGACGACATGAAGACGAAATAGCATTTATAATTTATAATAACTGTGTTCGTCAATCAATATTTATTGTAAATGGTGTTAAGTTTAGTTAAGTATTTATAAATCTCATTATAATCAAACTAGATGATTAAAATGATTAGTTAATTTATCTGAATTGTTATTATCTATACCTTTGTAATGCAATTCACACATATAGGTATAACAAAGTGGTCGTGATCTTTGAAGCCAAGGTACGTGTAATTACTACATGTTTACATTTACTTTCCGAGAATACACCGTCAGCGCGATTCCTAATCTGCATATAAAATAGGTTCGATTTAGACCTAATCACATCACACTTGATCGATCTTTGCATAAGCACGAGCACGGAGCATCAAGTGTATCAAGATGAAGTTGGTTGTATTGACTATGTGTTTAGTTGCATTAGTCCTTGCTGAGGAAAAATATCAGGAGGTAGAAAACAATTTTGACATATCGGAATTATTGGAAAATGATCGATTACTCGTCTCTTATGTTAAATGCTTGTTAAACAAAGGACCGTGCACTCCAGAAGTGAAAAAAATCAAGGGTATGTTATATATGAATTAATCATAATTGAATGTCTTGATTAATCTTATGTCTTGCTACACTTTTTTTTTTAAATCAGTACTCCATATTATTATCCTATCCATCACATCTTTTTAAAAGGGGTAATGTAGTAAAGATTTAAATAAAAAAATATTTCGTATTTACGATTCAGGATCTGATACTTTTTGTTATTTTGAGTTGTAATCGGGAAGATGTTGCTGCCCATTTTCTAATTCAGTTTCCCTCCGTCGCTTCTTACGACACCCACGAAGTAATGTGGGGCAGCGTACACTCTTACGCGAAACTAAAGGGGCGCTGTGACCTAATATCGAACCGGTGTCCCGCAATGGCGCAGCGTACTAGCTAGCAGGCTTAGAGATATTTCTTGTTTTATTCCAGTTAATTCTAGGTCTTAACTTTTAATTCATTTATTCATTTAAATAGTATAAGTATATAAGAACAGCGAAGTGGATCGATAGCAGAAAAATAACTATTGCTGGTCTCAAAGAAGCGTATGCTTCCAAAGGTGAAAATAAAATATCAACCGTTAGATCTTAAAAAGCGTGATTTGAATTGTAAAGTTGATAAATCTGAACTGAGAAAAAACTTACAGCCCATCTAGATGAGTCTAGAGATACTTCCAGTCAACTTCAAACAAACAAGTCTAAGATAAAATGCCTGCACAGCCTTTTATTATACTGGCTCTCTTTACCCTTTAAACTGATGCCTAATAGCAGCGCTTGCACTGCTATTAAGCAGCAAAAATAGGTAAGAGAAGCAAAACAAGAACGGTGATTGGGTGACTGCCCACCTAAATGCACTGCAAGCGGTTTTTGCATACTAAATAGCCTCAAAATAGTGCCAGGTTAGTTCTAGATTCCCTGTAAATCTTTGTAGGTACAATAACAATTAATTACCTTTAATGTCTGCATATTATACTGTGAGAAAAGCAGTGATTCTTCAAAGTGTATGCTATAACCTTAATTCTATAGTAAAAACTGAGTTCGTACAATAGTACATTGAAATTTTCGATTGCAAATAATTTAAGTGCTCATTTCCAACTTGCTCGATAGAGAAGAAAATGAGGAAATCTGCTTGCTTGCAATAGATTTCGAAAACATGTGAGGTCCATCAACACGCTTTACGCTTTTTTATTTTCCTTTGTAATAAACCCAAAAGGGCACAGAACTCTCAAGATCTCACTTCTGAGAGGGTAATATGGGCAAGAATATTCAATACCTTTCATGTTTCATTCTCAACAAAACAAAATTTTAGTTACATTGCTTTTAATGTAAACTATGCACAATACGTACGATTCGCTTATGACCTTTGCTAAAATAAACAGCAGAATTAATTTTTCTTTTTTTTTTTACTACAGAAAAACTCCCGGAGGTACTCGAAACTCATTGCGCTAAATGTACCGATAAACAAAAGCAAATTGGAAAAGTGATGGCTCAGCAAGTGAAGAAAACGCATCCTGAACTATGGCAACAACTCAAAGCTTTATACGACCCTCAAGGCAAATACCAACAAGCTTTTCAAGATTACTTCAGTGCTTAAATTTTGACATCGGCTCTACTATATACCCAGTAAAAAAGAACATCAAATTCATCTCTATATATTTTTGTCTTTTATTATAAAAACTAAACTTCCGTATTATGATTTTCTCCTGTATAATGAAGGCGTTTTTATACATAAATTGTACCTACATGTACTTACAAACATCTAGACCCGGAACAATTATTTGTAGGTCATACAAACACTCTTTTCGTGATTCGTACTCGTGGCTCTAAAGAATTTAAGCTAATTTGAATATTTTTTTGTTCCGCTTGCATAACAAGTGGCAAAATTAAAAATTTTGTACTACCAACTTCAGTATTAATAAAATGAGAACATCATCAATGTAGTCAAGTCAATTAAATATGCATTATTAAGGATAACTCAAAAACTACTGGTCAGAATTTGATCAGGGACCACATGAGATGTACCAGCTTTCAAATAAAAAATCATCAAAATCTATTCAACTAGAAAAGAGTTCTGAGTTATCAGATATTAAAAAAAACAATCTAATTGAGTACCTCCCCCTTTTTGAAGTCAGTTAAAAATAAAAACTTCCTTAAAGATTTCTTTAAAAGCATTAGCATCTCATGGTTAAGTAAAATTTTAACCTCTTTAACTTGTAAATAGTTCACAGCTAGAATTCGGCTTCTCTCAGCAGGAAATTTCCTCCGCCGGTCTGAGATTGTTATACCCGCTATTAATTCTGTTGTCTTGCCTTTATAGAATGTAATAAAGCAAAATAAAAAGTTGGACCGAAATTTAGGAGGTGCTAAATTATAGTACGAATACTGCGGTACAAGACATCTCAATGACTATAAAAAAAATAACCAGAGTATGAATCTGTCCACGTTTTACGTGGTAGAACTATGATGCAACTTTATTAATAGTATAGTTGTAGCATGAATGAGGCGGCTGGACCAGAGAAGGACCACGCTCTCACAGAATATCAGCGTAAAATAGCAGCTTAACACTGCTGTGCTTCGTATGTTGAGTGTAGAGAAGGGGAGACCTATTTTACTGGAAACGAGGCATTTCATCTGAGTCCTCAGTGGTCACAACGGATCTGCATAATCAGGTGAACTGTGTGCCCTTTATTACCCCTATCCCATAAAAAACGTCAAAGTGCAAAAATTTATTCCGTGCTTAAATGTGAACTGTAAAGGAACTAAGTCTCTGAGATGGATGAAGGGTCCCCTACAATGCGCTTCCTAGAAGGTCTATTTAGAAATTATGACTATGTTATAAATTTTATTTAGTGGCCAATAAAGAATAAAACATTATTTAGGTCTAACTGGAATTATTTGAAATTTTATTCAACGCTTGCCTAAATGTTTCAAAGGAAACCCAACCTTGAGAGTGATATTTTTCGGCTTCATTCCAAATGCTTTGAAATTTCTCCTCGGTGAAATTTTCTCCTGCAGCTTGAAATACTTTTTTTATTACTTCTGGGTTTCGTTTTGCGTACATATCGCGGTGATTGACGTGGAGTAAAGTAAAAATGTTCGGAGATATACATGACATTACGTCCGACTCTTGTGGTAAGCATATTCTATCGGCTTTGCAGTAGTACTCAGGTGTAATAGGATAATCGAGATCGAAAAATCTTCCGGAAGGTACACCCGCCATTTGAGACTCATTTATTTCTTGTCCAGGTTTTACCATTTCTCTGTAAGTTGTCTTCAATTCAATACAATCTGTAGGATAATCAGGGATGTGTGGAATATCCGGAATTGGTTCTCTAAAATTAAGTATGTGAACTAAAAATTTATATTTTATATTTGTTCCATCGAATGCTTTCCATTTAGATAACAAAGGTTCAATCAAAGAGGGGTCCAGCCTTATAAGTTTTGAACTACAAAATTTATAAACGAATTCTTTATGTAAACTACCGGTTTTGTTTGTGTCAAAATATTTAAGATTTAAATATAAACCATTGAAAAACTTTGCAGAAAAACGTGAAGATAAATATTTTCGAATAGAGTTGAGATGAGATAAGCATTTTCTTATAAATTCTCGCTCTGGATTAATTTTGCAAGAGCTTAGACAGTCTTGAATATTGTCAGCTGATTTAAGAATACCAAAAGAAAATCCCTCGGGAACCATGCTTAAGTTATCATTTGGCGCTAAAACTTTTCCAACTCTTGGTTTTTTTAAGTTTATATAATTAGATTGTATTGTGTTAAATACTGCTCTGTTTGCATTTCCATCAGCTATTCTGTCATCTGTTAAACAACATTTAGCGTATATTCCTCGTTTATCAATGTGGCTTCTACAGCCAAATGTTAAGTCCGGATTGAAAGCAGGCTTGCAATAATTCCGATTAACTTGTGTGCCTGGGCATTTGGAAGTGACAGTTTTATCTTCCAATGGTTCTTTTGGTAATATGATATCATAAAGGCTTTCTTTACATGGGGTCTTAATTCCAAATGTAGTGCTATATGGATCAAGTCCTTCGGGTAGCATTGGAATTGGATCGTGAACGTTGCCAAGTGGTTTTTTCCAATAAGAAGCATAACTGGTTTCCTTCAGTTCATCTACCAGCGATTGAAACTTAGTTTTTAAAGGAGGGTTTATGAGTTGAGCAGCTTCTCCGAAAATTCCAGCATTACGCATATCTTGAGGAGGGGGGTGACGTAAAGGAGGTGGAACATTAAGGGTTTTTGTGGGTATAATAGCGTCGTTGATAAGTGCATCTACTTCATCTTGTAACAAATAATACTTTAAAGCGTCTGAAACTTGGTTATCAGGTTGTGCAGTAGGTAGTCCAGCAGCACAAATATTTGGATTTCTTTCAAAAAACATACCTTCATTGCCTTTCCCACCTGAAGTAGATTTTTGACAATATACAGGCATTTTATTTATTTATTCTATTAATAAAATTTACAATAACAAAGGTTTTGTATGAATCAAAATGACAAAAAATGTCACAAATTAAAGAAAAAAAAATATATGATAGACAGCACGTAGTTATTATATTTCATTCAACAATTATAATAAACTCATTTATGTCAGATACAATGCGTATAGTACAGTCTACTTCGTATTCAGTTAATAATGTTTTGGATATTAATACGAACGAGAAAATTAGTCTAACAAATTTTTTTTTTGTTCTTTCTTTACTTTTACATTAAATTCCGTCGCCGATTTGATCTACGTGCAGGTGTTTTAGTTCTTATGTGTGAGTTTTGTAGTAACAGATGATTGTTTTTGTGTGCGCAAATCTACCCACGTAAAAATGACAGACTGTTTTGTATCGGGAGAAAGCTATGGCTATCCGACGGTAGCCCGTGCTGCTCTATGGTTAAGCAATTGCTTTATATAGTAAGAATTTTATGATTTTTGTCATACCTACTGATATAAAATTTAGTCACAACCATCTGGTAATATCTAAGAAATAAAATATTTTGATATAATGTTTAAAAAAAATGTAAAGTCAAAGTCTATCAAAACGCAGTGAAGCAATGTGGCGTATTAATTTCTCCATAATCGACCTATAGGGGCATGTGCCCAGGAGTGTTAAGTTTATAGGCTGTAACTTTCTATAGATATTTTTAACTGTGGTAGAGCCACGCGGCAGCTTTTGCTGTCGCACGGATGGGCTGGCTAGAACCGGGGTAGTACCACGACCTCACATAAAACCAGCGTGTAGTAGAGGTTTACCTCTGCGTTTCGCTTGGTGAGTGCGGGTGGCCGGAGGCCCTTTTTACTGGAAATGAGGCATTCCATCTTAGTCCTCACGGGTGACAACGCATCTACATTTTTATTTGTAACAGAGGATAGATGTAGATGTCTATGGGCCGCAGCAACCACTTACCATCATGTGGACTGTGTGCTCGTTTGTCACCCTTATCCTATAAAAAAAAAGATATATGTACAAAAGAAATGTTTTTCCTTTTCCTGAGTCGCATCGTTCGACATTCACGGGCCGAGTTGGGGTGATAGTTTATGGGGTTTATGGGACGATAATTTTTTTAATTTATTTAATGTATTTAATGGTTTAATCGTGTGTACAATTCCACACATCAAGACATGCAGGTTTCAAGTAGATAGGTGCAATTATGTAACGTCATACCTAACAACTGCATTCGTTCAAAGATAATAATTGATAGCTGTATTTGTTGTAAACTCATCCAATGACTATGAAAATGCACTGCATATAAGAGGATCACGCTCTTTCATTTAGTTATTTAGGCCTTCATAAGATTGTATGTGTACTAGTTAAACTATAAATATTTTTGCATTAGCTAAACTATAGACAATTTTGTGTGATTAACTTCGCTAATTTAGCTGCAATTGGTAAGTCTAGTGGTATAATTTAAATTTATAGAATGGGGAAACACAGAATCCGCTTTGATCAAACGTGCAGCAGGGTGAAGTATTCAGGGTACATAACCAACATGTTTTTGTCCTGTGGTCGGCAAACATTTACGAGTGTAGATACCTTTTAAGCTTAAGCAGTTAGAGACTTCTTTCAACTCCTTCACCATTCGACACGATGTTAGACGTACGACGCGACCACCTCACCACATCTGTCTAAATATTCCCTTTCATATATATACCCATCTGTGTGACGGGCGGTAGTGTTGATGTATGTATGAAAAATAAATATCAAACAGAAATCAAGAACAGCTTTACAGTGTGCTTAGCGGCATTCAATCTAGTTGTGCGCGCGCTCTACCACGCAACGGGCTTCTCTAAACATTCCTATTCCTAGGCCTATGATTGCAATATTCGAAATTAAGAATATCTTCATGAGAATAAACATCGAGATTTCTTCACATATTATACATCAAAGATTTTTGACGTTATTTTAATGACTTCGTGACTGTTCCTACTCAGCTTTGCAGATCTTAAGCTTCAAATAAGCATCTGGATATCTATTTGTCTACACGACACACACGCAAAATGCCTCTATGATACTAAAGAAATTCCTTGTAACTATTATAATTAAAAGATTCAGCTAAACGTATCTTACAGCACCTCAACTACAAGTAGTCTTTACTCAAGTATGTACGCATACCATCTGCGCTTCTATCGACTACAGATGTTACTCTAAAAATAATGAGCGTACCTCCTATCTCCGTTCTTAGAATCACAATGCATCTTGCCTAAAAACGCAATACGTCTAATTCATACACGTTCATTGACTAGTTGACTTTACGCGTGTTTTATTGTGTTTATATGCGTGTTTTATTTGTGTAGGAGACGTTTGGTGGCGGCGTAAGTGAATCCACTATCCCATATCAGCCCATGACAGACTGACAGCAAATTGAAACAGATGGGCAGCAGTACCTTCCTGAAAACGACTCAAAATAAGGAAAATAAACTATTACTAACCCGCCTGCTATGCATGGCAACTTTTTTTATAGGATACGCGTGACAAACGAGCACACAGTCCACCTAATGGTAAGTGGTTGCTATGACCCATAGACATCTACATCTATATTCGTTTGCGAATTAAAATGCAGAGACGTTGTCAGCCGTGAGGACTAAGATAGAATGTGAATTCCAGTAAAAAGGATATCCGGTTCTCTTCACTCACCATACGAAACACAACAGCATTAAGCTGCTATTTTACGCTGGTATTCTGTGAGAGCGTGGTCCTTCCCTGGTCGAGCCGACCCAATCGTGCTACAACTATATTATTAATATAACTGCAGCATGTCTCTACTACGTATACAAATAAACTAAGGCAAATATACCCCCTATGATGGTGGTGATAATAACCATGGTAATGATAGTTTTGTAGAGTGGTTTTGATTGCGACTATCGGATAAGGAGAAAAAAAAAACTATATAACATTTTTAACATTTTTCATACTCAATTATCAGGAATGAAGATACACCTATAGAAGATAATATATTTGGCTTAATTCGTAAAAACTGGCTTCCAACATGATTCAGTATCCAGCGATATTTGCCACGGTATTAGTAATAACGAGAGCGGATTTCTACAACCCGCGATATGACGATTTCGATGTGCAGCCCTTATTAGAAAACGACAGAATACTTTTGAGTTACACTAATTGCTTTTTGGATCAAGGACCTTGCACGCCCGATGCTAAGGATTTTAAAAGTATGATTTCTAATCTTTTAACTAAAATATTGGCATAGTGATTTCATTCAATAAATATTAACTTGACAGAGTTTTCATCCATTTATACAGCCTATCAAAGTCTGCGTTAATTAGGTGGATATTTGCCGTTGTGGTTTTCACCCGTAGAATTTTAATTTTTAATTGTTATTAGAAAGAAGTTGCTGCCCATCCACTGGTTTGTTCTCTCTTTGTCGCCTCTTACGACACCCATGGTCTACTGGCGGAACATTTTCGAAAAATTGGATTATTTTATTTTACAAAATTACGTCAGTAGAACGTTAGGTATTTTATAGATAGGTACTTGGAGTTATATGGGGATTGAATCGGATTAAATGGTTCAATGTGGTAAATGTTGCGGAGTAATTGACAATGTTTCAATTTTTTTAACAGCTGTAAATGATTACACCTATTAACGATTGAAAAAAATCGTCATTCCGTATTCCGCTGTTTCTTCCTCCTAAACTGTAGGCTAACTTACAAACTTGATTCGATTCGATTTAGTTTTCGATTTAAACTAACTTTATTCGAATTCGAATTTTAATTAAAGTCGAGGAACATGATTGAGTTACGTTCAAGCGACATCAGATCCGTTAGGCACATTCGGATATTTTTTTAATCAAAGGAAGGAATCATTTTCAAGAAATTAAAAGTGCACTTTTTATATATTTTCACAAACAGAACAAACTTATCAAGAATAAGCATTCTCGTTGGTTGCGTCTACGAACGCCATCTAGCAGTGGACGGCTTAAGACTAACGTTCTGATAGTTCCAATTTAATCCACGGTAGTATATTATTACGGTTTCGGAAGTATAAAATAACCTTGATAACGAAAAAAATTGACTGGTTCAAAACACGATTCTGTTGAATTTTAATTTTCTCTACAAAAACAAGGGTGAAGAATAAAGGCTATTGGCTATATATCTGTATATTCTTTTATTTTTTACGTTCTATAAAATTTCCTTACTAGATGTCTAATACCGGCGGTATAGGTGAATAGTTTTAGTAATATTACAAGGTTTCTACGTTTTAAAATAATTAATTAGTGGAATAAAATAAAACTTGATCATGACAATGGTAGGTATATTATATCATGAAAATTTTGTTCTAGTGTCATTATTCAGGGAGAAAACAGACGAATTTTTTTTTATAGGATAAGGGTGATAAACGAGCACACAGTCCACCTGATGGTAAGTGGTTACTGCGGCCCATAGACATCTACATCTATCCTCTATTACAACTCAAATGTAGATGCGTTGTCACCCGTGAGGACTAAGATGGAATGCCTCATTTGCAGTAAAAAGGGCCTCCGGCCACCTGCACTCACCAAGCGAAACGGAGAGGTAAACCTCTACTTCACGCTGGTTTTCTGTGAGGTCGTGGTACCACCCCGGTCCGAGCCGGCCCATCCATGCGGCAGCAAAAGCTGCCGCGTGGCTCTACCACTGTTAAAATAGGTATGGACTAAACACTTCCCAGATACCAATCCTCTTAAGTCCAAACAATACTATAATTTTTCGCTATTATGAACTTAATTTTCAAACATATGCAACATCTTGGACGAGTGTAAATTTATAGACTCTATCTTTTTGTAGAGCATTTCACATGAATAACACATTTAAATTTCAGAAGTTATACCAGAAACCTTGGAAACAGCTTGTGAAAAATGTACGCCAAAACAAAAACAATTAATAAAACAAGTAATCAAGGCGGTGATGGACCTTCAACCCGTGGCATGGGAGGAACTTGTTGAAAAATATGATAAAGACAAAAAGTACAGAGATGCATTCAACAAGTTTATACATGAAAAGGACTAAGCTATGGTGACATTATAATGACTAACAAAAATAAAATTAATTCGCTAACTACATGTGTGCGCATCGAGTACGTATCCGAAATCAATTTTGAACTATATTTAAGTATGAAGTGTGAAAAATTTAAACTTGAATGATGGACATTAATTTTTCTTGAATGCTTTCATGAGTGTACGCCTATGCTATGATGGCATGGTTAAGTTATTATTAGTGTAGCCTCAACTGCAACGCAAGTTTGAGGTAAATATAAAGTAGACAAATAAGTCCATTTAGTTCACCAGCATATTTATTGCATTAAATATAATACACACTCTATCCACTGTTTCAATATTATTTTTGTTCGTCAACATTAATACATGACTTGGACAAGTTTAGACTAGTAGCTAAGGTAAACTTGGACTAATAGTCATTATATAATATTAAGGGATTGAGAATAATAATATAACAATATCCTTTCATACTGACCGAAACACTAATTTAAAATTTTTGACTTATATTCATTATCATCATCATTACAGCCCATGACAGTTCCATTGCTAAATATAGGCCTTGCCCAAGGAATACCAAAAAGCTCCTTCTCCATCTACTAAAGAGCCGCCCTGCCACTTCTGCTTACTAATTCGTTGGGCTATGTAGTACTACCGCCATCCTTATTACGAAGTCTTTCACGCAAAGAAGCTCCGAGCATAGCCCTCTTAATAGCTCGACCGTGACCGTCAGCAGTGAAAAACTACGTCTTAGATGTACATTATGATCACTGGTAATAGCCTCTATGTATATAAGACTTATACTTACTTTTGATATACCGTTACAGCATATTAAAGTCCACTGCTTAAAATATGCTTCCTCCATAGAATGCCTCATTAGAAGGATATTTGTCATAGTTGCTACGCTTGCCAAGCGGGTTGGCAGCCGCAGTCTATAAATATTGAAGTCGTTATTAGGAAGACGCTGCTGCCCGTCTCGTAATTTGTTTACCTCTGTCGCCTCTTACGACACCCACGGGATGATATGGGGTAGTCGATAATCTTACACTGCCACTATACGGATCTATTGATTTATTTCTATTAAATTGTTAAATATTTTGCTGAATTAAAAAAAATATTGTGATATATTACGAAGTCATTACAATCATGGATATTGCACAAGAAAAAATTCAAAATCTGGGTTTATATATTATTTATTGTAATCCTGACAGAATTATGTAAAACAGTTACTTAAGATTTAGTGTTTCTCTTTTACGGAATCGAGTCGGTCCTTGTATCTTTGTTGGTATTTGTTGTCGGGATCATATTTAGCGGACAATTCCTTCCATAGATCAGCACGCTTGTTAACTAAAAACCGTATAACCTTCTCAGTACCTTCTTTTTGTTTCTGTGTACATTTAGAACACTCGTTTTCTAAGGCATCAGGCATTGTTTCCTTTAAAGTTTTTCCGTCAGGTGTACAGCGGCCTCTATCCAAGAGACAATCTACATAACCCTTCAGCAGACGTTGAGATTCTAAAATTTCATCCACGTTAATGTTATCCCACTTATCGGTGTAAGTGGAAGCGGGCTTGCCCCATGTGACTGCCACGACACAGAACAGTGACACCACAATGAATAACTTCATCTCTAATCTGAAATAAAATTTAATTAAATCAAATAATCATTTATACAATACTAACGATCCACCTCGACTTCACACGGGTTATTTCTGTATCTCGACAATAGCGCCACCTACCGGACCCAATTGTGAATATAAATCATCGAGGAGTCCACTCAAATGCACACAAGTTTCATCAAAATCGTTCGAGTTGTTTTCGAGTATTACCGATACAAACGGACATCAAATAATCTTTACATAATATGTAGAGATGATAAACAAGGTCAGATACGGAACAACACTTCCAGTTTATCTGTTTGAGCCACAATTTATGTCGTAATTAGAAATACAAAACTTTATAAAATCGTAATGAGAATCCAAAGATATTTGGTAATTAATGCCAGATTTATTTATTTAATCTATGCTGAACTTTAAACACAGTACAAGATCAAAAGGCAAACTTAATGCTAAAAGCATTATCTGCAAGTGAACCTTAGTGCACTGATGTGAGGCTACGAAGGCGGTTATAGATAATACAAAATATTATAAAAGTAAACATTTGTAATTGCAGCCCTTCACAAGTCCACTGCTGAAACATAGGCCTCCCCCAAGGAACGCCACAAAGCACGGTACTGAGCCACCTGCATCCATTGACTTCCTAATTATCTTACCAGGTCGTCACTCCATCTAGTGAGGGGACGCCCTACACCTTCCTATCGGTACGAGGCTGCAACTCGCAAACAGATATTTACAAAATACCGAAGAGAATGAAATAATGGAATTAAAGATACATAAAATAAACACAGACGTATAAACACATACACATATTCACAAATGTTTAAATATGTATAATGGAAGATACATAATATACTGATTAAACAAATATAGAGGAAACCAAACTTAACTCAGCACTTCTTAAAAATTATTCATTTTAGGAAAGGAGACCAAAAAGATCTTTGGTTCGGCATGCACACTTATGACGTTATTTTTTGTTAATTCATAAGAAATATTAATTTTCTTATTTATATTATATATAAGTTAATAATACATACTTATTTAATATACAATATGTACTTATTTAAAATATACACTAATACTTTGCACTACAAAATGTTATAAGTAATTTAAAAACTAGATTATTACCTATAAAATCTGCTAAAACACTGCAGTAAAATATTTTAATGAAAACGCATTTATCTTCAAGTCTCTCTTATATGTATAACCAGTACTCGTTAATTATGACTTGTATTTATACACAAAATTATTCAAAGAATCACGGATGTTATGTTATGAATCCTTATTAAAAAAAAAAACAACGTAAGCGTGGAAACCAATGACTTTGAAACACATTAAACTTGGGTTTGCCTGTTCATATTTTAATTACGAATGGTCTATTGTTATATCGGAAACTTGCTTGATTGTCATAGCAGGAAATATTTTAATAGTTCTTATCATACTTATTTGAAAAAAAATATATTTCCATATTCAAAAATTCTGCCTCCACAACAGCCCATAAAGAGTCTATTTCTGGATATGAGTAAAAAAAAATCTTTATTCTCAGACCAGTAATACTTAAAATTAAAAACATTATTGGAACACTCCTTTTAAGTTAGGAAACTTGTGTTAGGAGGCTCCGCTCTTCCCGTCCTTCATTTATATAAATTAGTGTTTAGAACTTGGGTAACACATAGATTTTTGACTTATAGTTAAACTTATGTAGTATTTTTACAATAAAATATCCGTTGGTGTTAGTTGTGTGATTGTGTAGTGTATGTGTATGTGGTGTGTGCATGTTGAGGTATATTTAGTAAATTTTTAATTATGTATAACAAGTTAAGTAATTGTTTCTAAAAGTGTTTCGGTTTCGTTATAATTTAAAGTTTTCAACCATTCTGTTGTTTTCTTTTTAACTTCTATGATATGCAATGGATATATGCTTAAGATTTAATTTATTTTATTATATAAGTATACTGCCCTTTTCTCATATTGAACTGAAGCAAATGTCGTTTTACAGCGATTGATATATAGAACTAAGTCGTTTCTTCTTTTGTTTGTCTTGTCTTGTTCATAACTAGTAGATTTGTGAATTTTAAGCAATAAGAATAAAATATATAACTTTCGAACTGACAAGACACCAGACAAATTATAAAGGTCAGTAGTGGGGAATCGGTATGGTTTGAAATAGCAGACCTCAAGCAGGGCTCTTTGAGCTCGCTCAACATCAAGGAATCTTGTTTTTAAAGCTCCTCCCCATACTGGGGTACAATAAGTAAGAAAAGATTCAGCCAGTGTTGTATATACTTTGTTCAGTAATTCGGGGGTTGTTACATGTCTTAAGTTTTTGAAAATCCACGTTAATTTTCTCATGCGGCCAGTTATTAATTCAATATGGTTATACCAAGACAGACAGATCTCCAAAAGCATGCGGCAGAACTTACGCAACTTCAATACAGCTTGTATTAAAGAAGCGATCGAACCAAGACTCCAAAGTCTTTGCTAGAGATCTGTCTGTCAGACAGAGCGAACTGTCTAATTTGAAGTCCGAGTGTGGCAGCATCGTTTCCGGGACACCTGAGATTTTGAGTGAGATTGAGAGGTTTTATGGGCAGCTGTACACATCATCGTTGGAGCCACACGCAAATGTGAGTAACGATCCGACAGCAAGTTTTATTCTACAATATTCCGATGAAGTCCCGGACTTCAGTTTGAGCGAGATTAGAATGGCTCTCCAAAAACTTAAAAACGGCAAGGCCTCAGACGAGGATGGAATTACAGCGGAGCTTCTGAAAGCGGGTGGAAAAGCGGTACTTGAAGTCCTTCAGAAGCTCTTTAATTCCGTCCTCCATGGCGGGACTACTACGTAGGCGTGGAGTAGAATTGCGGTGGTTTTGATCATCAAAAAAGGCGACAACGCTCTCTTGAAGAATCAAAGACCGATTTCCCTTCTGAGCCGCATCTACGTGGGCTTAATACCATTCCACTTTGCCTTAAGTATGGAGTAACCTTTGATTCCGTCGAAATTTCGGCGATGCTATAGTCCCTACAGCGGTGCCAAGTTGACTGTCAGTATATCTATGTGCTGAAGTATTTGTACAGTAGGGCTACGCTGGCTATCCTAGTACAGATCAGAGTACGAAACCTATCCAACTACAGAGACATGTAAGACAGGGTCATGTTATATCCCAAAAACTCTTCACAATACCTTCTAGTATAAGAAATTTACAATCTTTCAATGAATTCGGAACTCAACTTAGTCAGTATATAATTACGGATAATTCACTTCTGGAGAAATTTATTTATTTATTTACACACACAACAACTATCCTTACAGGTTAAACAAACCCACTACGATAGTGTCGCTACTCTACTTAAATATACTATGTATTTACAACTAACTTACATAACTAACTATGTAT